CTTTGTGGCTCTGTTGTCCCTGATACATGGCCAATTCTGTTTTATTCTCTTAGATCAAGAGGCTGTTTCGCTATATTAATGAAAACTGTGTGTGCTTTTAAGTCCTTTTATTTGGCCTACAGGAAACTTTATTAAATGTCAATGTAACATTCTTAAATTCTCCAAAGGAGAGTCAACATTGGACCCTGGGTGAAATAAGATGCAGCAAACTCTCATTATTTCATGCTGTCCTTTCTTTTAAAATTTTTTTAGGGTTTGTTCTACTATTATAGCTCTAGGAGACTCCAAAAGAACAGTTGACAAATGAAAGGTTGGACCCTCAATTTAATATATATGTTTTGAAGCTTAGGATAGTGATTGGCTGGACAGTATTAGAGTTACGAAACCTAATTCTGATACTGCTACCTAGGAAATTGATGAAATTGAGACATTATCAGCCAAGGTGGATGAAAGCAGCCAAGGGCATTTAGTCAGGACTGCCAGAGAGTAAGAAGGGTCTGTCATTGCTCCCCGGGTTACATCAGTGCTGTGATTAAGATTGACAGGCCTGAAGTGGTAAGGCTCTCTAGCTGCTTTACCTCTTCCACTCTGGCAAAGGGGCAGAGTCCGAGAGGACTGTCACCATGACTCCTTAATGATTGAGTGTTTAGGGTATAATATGTTAGGAGCTGACTGTACAAAATCAGGATGAGAGAGCAGGGTCTGTTTGGGTTCATTGTTACCTTTCTACAAAATGGGATCTCATCCAGCTTGTCAGCATATACAAACTGCATAATATACGTTTGAAATAGGAGAGAGAGGGGAGTGGGGAAGGGGAAAGTGATTGAGTGATTATCCCAGAGAATGGACAGCTTAAATGTTGAGAGAGAATGAGACATAGGGCTATTTCTTCTCATGACCATCTGGCTAGGCAAGAGGCAGCACACCAGGGTACAATTCAGAGAAGCCATTCTCTGAATCAACATTGGACCTGGTGTGAAATAAGACGCAACACGGCTCTTATTGTTGCATGCTGTCCTTCCTTTATTTAAAAAATTTTAGGGTTTATTCTATTAGAACTCTAGGAGACTTCAGAAGAACAGTCTCTTAGGGCACCACACTGCATAGTTCTCAGTTCTCTGCTCCTCTTTCCCCTCACTTGGGGCAGGTGGAAAGACTGAATGGACTGCTTCTCTTTCTGGAAGTTCTCCATGAATACTGATTGCTTAGCTGAGTATTTGTTAGCTATTAGGCAACACTGACTTCAATAGAGTGTTCAATTGTAAAGGACTTGGAGTGTTACATTCTGTGTTATTACTTAGAAATTTACCCACTTGCTTTAAGAGTAGTTGAGCTGATAGACATGTACTTTATACAGATTTAAGGCTCTGTTATCTCTCATTTATGTATTTTGATAAAGTTTTTTTTTGAACATGCTATTTAATGATTTTCTTTCCAATAAAGCCATTGTATACTCACCCTGCAGTTAATTTTCCTTGTACATGATTTTATTATCTCATATGTATTGATCTTATACAATTAATTATTGTCTCACCACATTGTATTATAATTGCATGGCTATGTATCTCCTGCTAGGCTGTGAGTGCGAGGTTAGTCACGGGTCTCATTCAACTTTGTGTTCTCATACTACTCAGGATAGTGTCTGACATGTCATGTGAAGAACGTGAATAGTGGATATCCATAAGTGATGAATGAATGAAAGAATGATATCCCAGTTTTAGAGTCTGCCTCCAGAATATTGGCACTCCATGACCGGTATTCTGGATGTATTCCTTAAAACAGGGACATTGTGTTCATTGGCAAATTTTTGTGCCCTTTTTTTCTCTTAAGCTATAGAGTAACAGGCTGATGTGTTTCACTGTGATCTTCCATGTGCTGTGTTTGATTGCTTGTTGATAATGAATGGTGACAAGTGCCATCATAGTGTGACTGCTTTGGTTCCAAGGTCACATCTTTCCCTTGGTTGAACGTAAGTGCGTTTTACATTTCAAGATCTTGGCTTCTGAAACCTGGTGACTTGTGTTTATTATTTATCTTCTTGGGCATTTATCATTGTCTGACCCCTGTAACCCCTGGTTTCCATTTCGATCAAATGAGAGTTGTGCGTGGCTGGCTCTAGGGTGACGCTTAGCATAGCAAATGTGCAGTGAGTTGATGGAATAGCCTTTGACTGAGTCTTGCTGCTGCTGCTTTGTGCTGCAGAATTGTGATTTGTAACTTTACTTGAAACTGTCATTTTACCTTTTTCACCTCACAAATTTAATCGCTCTCAAGGAAAGAGATTTATTTTAAAATAGTACAGATTATCATTAATGTAAAAATTTTAAGAGATTAAATTTTTTTTGCCATTACATGTAATTAAAAATTTTTCTTCCTATTTTCTTTACCTGGCTTTAATGACTGAAAAGCATTCTGGAGACAGGAAAACAAAGACAAAACAAAATGAATGGAATTGAAAACTCTGAAAAAAAATTGCAAAGGTTGTCCTTTGGGATGATGATAGGAGGAGAAATTAAAAACTCTCTGATTTCTGCCTCTTACTAGTTTCAGAACAAGATTAGACAGAGAGTAATAAGACCAGAGGCTCCTTTTTTCCCTTCTTGCCACAAGCACATATTGACACCTCATGTGTAAGTGTGGTGTAGGGCCTGAAATTAATCCCAATGTTACGTGTGCCTTGACACCTGAAGAAACTGGGAGCCTCTAATGACCCATCTATAAGCCCCCTCCCTTACTGTGCTCTGGGGAATACGGTCCCCTAGCCAACCAACTCTCCAAGACCCCAGCAGGCTAACGTATTGATTTTAGTCTTGTGAAATTTGAAGCAAAGAAAGACACTAACTTTCAACACTCTGAGATAATAAAGGGGTGTTATTTTAGCCTCTAAGCTTGTGGTAATTTGTTATGGTAGCAGTGGAAACCGAATGCAAGTATTAATGAGTATTTGTGTTTCTTTTCCTTGGGTTTCTCTTCATTGAAAAATTCTGGGGGTAGTAAAACCTTTTTGTTTGAAATGAATGGCAAGAAACCATTCCTTCACCTCATGTTTCCATTTCATGAAGAACTCACAGCTTTATATACATAAAGGGATGGGTCCGTGTTGTGTCCAACACACAGCTTACCATTTGGGTTGATTTTACTCTACTTGAATGAGCTATAGTTTCCCTGGGAATCATAATTTTAACACCAAAGCCTTGTTTTTAGTTGCTGTGGGCTCCAAGAGCATTTCACTGACACATCCTCTGCTTCAAATACATTTTCTGTTTTAAAAGTGAGCGATTCTAGACCTTTGAAAAATAAGAAATGGTGAAGACCAGAATAATGAACATTGTATTTTTAGTTGCTGCACTTAGATATGTTGGTTACTGTACTTTTTTAAAAAAGAGTCAAAAAATGGAAACTGCTATGAGTAGCAAATAGTGAAGCTTATGTATGCATGAATAGAGTTTAGTATAGTAATAAAACCTTACAGTAAAATGACTACAACAGTCATATTCATAGTCATAGTATTCATAGTATGAATAATTGTTATTCATAATTAGGAATAAAAGGTAAGGGGATTGCATAAAGCATTATAATTGCCATTTATAATTACTACTGCCGTTACATAGCAGAACAAGCATTCTGCCCTCAACTGAGGGGAAGGAAAGTGAGGACCTGGGCCAGCGCATGAGTGTTGGGAGGAATGTGGCTCAAGGTGGGTCAGCCCCTACCTCACTGTGGTGGGAATTGCCCCTTCTTCATTAAGGAACATGAGGAAATGGAAACTGAGTGGCTTGGCCCTGGGGTCCCCAACATCTGGCTAGGAGAGTGTGGGAGTGATTCCATCTCTGCCCTCCCCTGACCCTCCAGAGCAGCCCTTATCCCTTTGACTCTGCTTTTGTGGGAACTCCAGTGCCCTCTGTGCTTTTTTGGCTTCTGCCCTGCTCTTCCCACAGATGGAGAGACGAAGCTAGAGGCTTACCTCATCTCTTTCCTTCGTTAATTCTACTTCGTAATTGTGAGAGTTAAAGAAAGGCCTCTCCCTAGGGCCCCAAATTCTCCTGTCACCACTTGAAATTCTATTCATTAACTGTTAATTTGAATTAATAAACAGGTATCTTAGACTGGCCAAAGGCAGTTATTAAAGGTGACCTAGTCATTCTTGGCATGTGTAGCCTGAGCTAGGGGCTATTTTAAAGACTTTACCTGGATTAATTTATTTAATCTGCACAGCAACCTTATGAGGAAGGTTCAGTGGTGTCCAGTCACTTGTCCCAAGTTACATGGCAATGACATGGGGAGAGTCAGAACAGAGTCCCTGTGGGTCTGCGCTGGGATTTAGGCCCTAGCCACTGTGCTGAACTGCTCTTCTGGATCCTTAATGAGGATTTGATTGCTTTCTTCCTAACACCTAGCAACAATACCTGTAGGGATGAGACTGGAAGCAAAGATGGTGAGGACATATTAGGAGGAGACATGGCTCTGAGGGGAGTAGTGCTTGGGATGATGGAGACTTTGGAAAGAGACTTGGAGGACATTTTTTTGAGGCCATTATTTTCCCACCAAAAGTAGTCAGAAGTCACCCATAAGCATTTGGATGTCACATTATAATCAGTACGATAATTCAACCAGGGACCCAGCAAGTACTGCTGTTCTTCTTTGCCTCTCTTCAACATCAACATCATCTTTCTCTTTGTATTTTATGTTTAATTTAATGTTATTCTTTAAAGGTGGGGTCATGCCATATTGGCCAGGGTGTTCTTAAACTCCTGGCCTCAAGCAGTCCTTCTTCAAACCCTGCTGAGATTTCAGGTGTGCGCCACCATGGCTGGCCCATTTTTTCTTTTACTGTTCTTGCTGCAGAAAACTCTTATGTATGTTTGTCTGTGTATATGAGGGAAGTGTTTAACTTATCAAGTTTTAAAGTGTTGTTTAAGTAACATTTTGCAAATATTCTTGAAGTAAAAGCTAATGAAAATTGACTAATTTCTTTAATTGTCCTTTTCTTCCTCACAAAGTATTGGCTGGATCCTGCAAAAACTCTTGCTGAGCACAAAGAACTGATCAACAGTAGGTATTTAACTTTTGCTTTGTTAAAGGGTGGCTTGAAAGCGATGACAAAGTCCATGGTTAGTTGGGTGCAGAAGTGGGCTTAAGTACTGGAGAAGTGAGTACTAGTACTCAAGTCCCAGAATATGGGAATGTGTGTATTGTGTGCATTGCTAGGCCTTCTCCAAACTCATATTAAATTTAATCAGTCTCTGAGTGGATGTTGGTATTGAATTTGTCCTAGAGGCAGGCCTTCCCTTGATTTTGTCTGTGGTTTTTCTGTATGCTTGTCTTTAAAATTTGACCTTAAAACAAAAAAGGCAAATAGACATTAATGGGTGGTAGGGGGACTGCAGGGATGGGTCATAATGTCCAAGCTTTTAAAGAGCTTGAGTTTCTTGAGTTATGGCATGGTTTTGCCATTCGGACCACTCAGTTTCCTAAGCCAGTAAGAGGTGCTTTTGTGACCTGAAAAGTGGTTTTCAGAGAGAGACCATTTTTGGGAGCCAGCTTTTTGGTTTTATCAATATGAATATTATAAGGAGACGCAATATAATTAAGTATATATTCCTTAATCTTAATTTCCAGAACCCAAGTTTTTATTTATAAGCACAAACACAGAGGCTCCTTAAGTGTGCAAAAGAATACTCTTTTTTTAAAAAAAAATTGTCTGTTTCAATTGAAATAAAATATACATGACGTATAAAATGGATTCTTTTAACCATTTTTGTGTGCAATTCAGAAGCATTAGGTACATTTACATTGTTGTGCAGCCATCATCACTGTCCATCTCCAAAATGTTTTAATCTCCCTAAACTGAAACTCTGTTCCCCATTAAAGCATTTTGCTGAACTGTGTAAATTATTGCTAATCAAAACGGAGTGGATTCTTCTGGCATTCATTACCCCCATTCTGAGTCTGTATTTTCTGTGCGTGTCAGCTTGTTTCCTGCGGTAGTATTGGTTGTGCGATGCTCCATGGATCCAAGGGCAGGAATGTAGCTCTGCTTCCAAAAGGAACTGGAAACCTGGACTGCAAAGCCATCAAAAAGTCCTGTTTCTATGAACGTCAGCATCATTGTTGTTTCTCATTGCATTCCCACCTCTGTAGTGGAAACCACTGGAGTTTACAAGTTACAGCTCTAGTGTATTTGAACTGATTTAAAAAATACCAATTGGAAAACCAGAAAAATTTCAGGAATGATTTCTTT